GTATAAACATGCAAATGATACAAAGAGTATACAAGAGCACGTAATTAGGGATCATTCACGTCAGATAACCGATAAGGTCCAATGCATACAATTTGATAGACTGCCTGATTTAGAGATGCATGAAGCGTGTCTGTCTTTACAGGATTGAGAAAACACTTGAGGGGGATTCGAATGTATGGACAGCCAGGTATATGGGTAAATTATAAAAAAAGGCATTACCCACGAAAAGCATAGAAATATATACAGGCATCTAGCGAATAAAGTAGGAATGTAACTGTACATAAGTTTGTTTCCCTGACCAAAAGTAAAAGCAATCCAGTGTAAATTCCAATGAAGAATTCGAGAAGCTACAAGTTGATGACAATCCATATAAGCTAAAAAGGTCTGATAAAAATCCATGAAGCTTGGCTCGAAAAGAGAAAATATACAGAATAAGCGCGCGTTGCTGGAAATTAAGGCAAAAAAGTAATCGTGCTTGTAGCCAGTAGCAAAGATGAATCTTTAACAGGAAGACTGATCGATTTGCTGCTAATCAATGTGGCGATGGATGAAATATTTGGCGCTAGCCTATAAGTATAGTGGTACTAAGCACAATATAATCGACTTGATTAATTAGAAGCAAGGATAAGTAATTACAAAAGAGATCAGTAATAAAGTGAATAAAAAAGTATTCGCGTAAAATATGAAGGGATCATTGTTTTTTACAGGAGGCACAACCATCCGACTCAATTCATCCACTTTCTACAGTTGAATGAGCCACAGTGACAGGGAATTTTAGAGGTGCAGTCTTCGAGGTCAAAATTGTAATCATAGGTTAGTTCCTCACCTTTATGGATTTTACACGTCGTAATAATAACAATGTGTCCGCCTTCACCAAAATTGACGTACTCAGCCACACAATTTGGTTCACACGAATGATTGATGTAACGAGCTAAACCACCGCTAACTGTAGCGTCGATTACAGTATCCTCGTCTAGGCGAAACATATATATCCCTCGATTGTGTGCTTCATATACTTTTTCGCGTTTGTTGGCAAGCTGTACACGTATGAGTTCACCTATGTATTCAATCACCATAGTATGCTGATCCAGATCACGAGCCGCAAACAATCCAAGGCCTTGAATTCGCGATCTTCCTAGAATTATGTTGTTATTTATCTCCAGTTTTAGCCTTCTATACTGTTGAGACCTGCCAACTAAACTCTGTCGAGAAGAAGTATCAACGGATCCAGGGAGAAGTTTATTGTACAATGAAAGATGAGCAATGGAGTTGCGATGCATGAGTCCAGACGAGCCTGAAGACGTAAACCGAGTTGAGGTGGATGGAATGAAGTCACCATTTCGGCGAGTCCGTTTGATGTAAGTCCTCATTTTGGGCTCTGACCTTGAACAACCGGAGGGATTAATGGCAAGTGGCATTTCGGCAATCAATTGCAATCGACCAAACTTGAAGACGTAATCACGAAGTTGGTCGACGCCAGGCAATGACTCGATGGCACGAACTATATGCGGCTCCGAGAGACCGAAGAGATCCTCACCTTTATTGTATTGGGGGAAAAGCTTTATTAGCCGATGCGAAGTACGCAGACTAGCAATACGTCCTAATATCTGGTGCCAAGCAGCATCACACGTAGCACCAATAACTGTCTCATTAGCAAGTCCCTTATCGATCGCTGTGATAACAAAATTTGGTGCTCCACTGCACTCTTGTACTTCGCAGAGGTATCGGCCACGGCAAAAGACTCGGCGCATGGACCAATATATTCGGACAGTTCGAAAACCTACAGGATAAATGTAGCGTTGTGTGTGGAATCTTCCGCTTTCCAATTGGTGAGGAAGTAGTTGGCCAACCGAATGAAGACAAAGTCCCCCTATTCGGACAATGTGAAGAGGCTCTTCTTCGTGGATGACCTGAGCAACCTGTTCGTTTTCCTCCCGAGCCAAATAGACACGACGATATACAGCCAAAGAGGGGAGCTTCATAGGATGATGTTCCAGTGGCTGGTGCTGGGGGCAGTACATACCGCGATCAGTAAAAAACATGCAGCCTATTTCCTGAGCACAGGGAACATGATATACAGCGGAGCATCTCGGGTTATAGCAAGGCAAGCCAGCACCAAGGGTGCCACAATAGGAACAGGGGGTGCGTCTTGCTCGGATATAGCAAGAGCGCTCATTGTTTAACGAGCCACAGATAGCCTCATAGACCTCGTAGCACCAAAGTGAGCAATTAAGATGGATCCACTCGTCAACTCCGTAGCAGAGAAGTCTTCCAGGCCCGTCCTCGCGAAGGTCGCCAGCTCGGTGGCAAAGGAAGCAAGAACGAAGATCATTAAGCAGAGGATCACGAAGGATGCCAGAATGTCCCCTAAGCAATTCCAACGCTTCTGCGCTATTCGGCTTATGACCAGAATCTTTATCTTTTATAGCCTGATCAGAAGCGAAGGATCGCCAACGCACTCCTTTCCAGCGTTTGGATTTAGGAGAGATGGATCCTGGTGTGCCAAGTCGGCGCTTTAACGCTGTGGAATTGCAATTTATCTGCAATGCGTTTCGCTTGTTGGATATATTCGCTTTTAGTGGTTTGAGAGGAGCGTTCTGTAGAAGAATGGGGACAGTTGGGACAAGCTCACTAACAATAAGCTGTTGACGCGGTTCATGGCAGCCGGAAAGGTGTTGAGAAAATGTGCCTTGATGCTGCATATGCGAAAAAGCAACCTGGGGCTTCTCCCCGGTGGAATCAATACGGAGGCGATGATCCGCTACAGCTGCTGAGAACTTGGAAACACAAGATTCGCCACAAAAAATGAGCTCCGACGTTTCTGTACACGTGAAGTCTGAGCGTATAGAAAGGCCTGCGGCAGATGCCAACTCATCAACACGTTTGAGAACGGCTGATCCCGGCGGGACAGGAACTTCGCAGTATTTACAAAGCTCAGTAGCATCGCGTTTTAGTGCAAGGAGCTTTGATATACTTACAGGATCTTCAGAGTACTTTAAGCTGGAAGGTTGGCCTGAATTGAAGTTAGGCTCCAAAGGCCTGGAAGAAAACTTAGGATCTGAAGAAATAGCAGAATCAACTGTATCTCGAGGAGCTATTACCGGTGCACAACCAGAGCAAGTCAGTGAAGAATTACTTTTGCACTCATTAATAGACTTTGTTAAATGCATAGAGAGTGGTGTGAAATGCTGTCTTAAATGACTTTCCAAATCTCTAATAACATTCTTAGATTGGCTTTGATTCTGACCGAATGTGATCTGTGTGCCAGAGCGAGTGACTTCGTATGTAAGGGAACCAGAATCAATGCCAAGCAGATCAGTGATGCGACGTATAACCTCTGGTACACTGTCTGTCATTGAAGAATTGATGGTAAACGTTACATGAAGCTGTTCGTCTTCCCCTGTCACTTCTCTGGCTTCCTTGGGTCTTCGGCCACCTAAAACCTCGCCGGTTTCGGAGTCCACAACCGGCAGTGAAGAATCATCTGTGTAAGGAGAAGTTTCTTTAGCACAGGATAGCTCAGCAGACAAGCAATCCTTCTTATTAGATTCAATGCCCTTCCCATTTATTCCAGGAGAGCGGATCAAGAGGTGCGGATTAGGCATATGATAAACGGGAAGAGGTGGAGTACATCGATCTTGAGGAAAATCTCGAGAAATATTATTAGCAATGTGGAAAACTGGGAGGAGAGTTGTTGCTGGATCAGATTCAGAATCGTCAAAGCCAGATTTTAATTGGCTCGTTCCAGTATAGAGGGCCATCAAGCTGCTTTCAAGACTTACAGGCTTGGGTGAGGGGCAGACCTGCGGGCGTTGGGAACTAGGTGAGAATTTAAGGTGTTTTGTCGTGTGGAGCATGGGTTCTATTGGAGTATTGGCCTCCATATGCTGCAGCATAAACGAATCTGAGACCTCTTCGTCTCCGCCGAGGGCAAAGGATCGTTGAACAGAAGAAGAAAAAGGAGTACGTCGATACTTGAGGCCTTTTTCACGCAATCTTAGATCTTCTTCTTGCGGTGAGCATAAAAAAACAGGATGAGATGCAGCTCCATAGGGCGGAAGGACAAAGGCAAATGAAGATATTCGAGGATCAGATACTAAATCCTTGGGCTCTTGGTGCTTAAGTTTATCCAATAGTTGCTGAACTATCTCCGGAGTCGCCTTATTGACAGATGGCTGCTTAGATGAATCCAATGCACCACAGGCAGTCGCTGATTTATTATTAACGGCTGAAACTGGCGACAGAGCAGTTTTCCGTTTTTTACTGTTAGTTGAAGGAGTTGGATTTTGGCGTTTTTTTACAGATGTATTTGAGAGTGATGTTGGCTTTGTAGGACGCAATGGTACAGCATTCGAGGGAACTGCTCTGATAGAGAGCAAATCGGATGAGGCGGTAGAAACAACCACGTTTTGATCTGGAATTCTTATTTGGTCTTGCTTGGATTGATTAAGAGAGATCTTAGAGTCGTTGGAAATCACTACATTGGCGATTCCCCCTTTATCTGATTGGATAACGACGGGACTGGTTTGACTGACAAAAAGAGAGGGGGCGGGATGAGTGTTGAAGGCAAGGGTCTTTTGAATCATGCGTACATTAGAATTCCCCAAGCTTGTATAATGATCTGATGCCGTAGTTGCATCAGACAAGAAGCGTTGTTGAAAGTGAACAGAGTGACGGCTATCCTCAGGTGATAACAGAGTCATTGGAACAGTTATAGTCTGTGGGGAATTGACCTTGACAGGGGAAAATACAGCCGTCTGGCCATCTTGGAGATTGGCGATAGTATTGACAGGCTGGGCAATAGAAATGGCAGTTCTCTCGCTAGATGATGCTTGTATATTTTGCAAAAGCGCAGGTCTTAAGACCACTTGGGAGGCGGATGTAGCGAGTAAGGAACGGGCCGGTGGTCTATTAAAGTTAGAAAATATATGCTGTTGGTTCATCTGCAAAGAAGATCCAGAGTCTGGGTAAACATGCAAAACAGTGGGTACAGCTTGAGGATGAGGATAAGAGTGAAGGTACTGCTGTGGAGCAATTGTGGCAGGTTTGAAACGTAGGACATCAGCGTTTCTGTCGACAACAAAATTAGTTTGTCCGGTGTTGGTGCAAATGCCGCTAGGAGATTGATGAGTAGACGTATTACCTTGGCTGGGATGAGGTGATGAAGAAAGAGGAGAGGGAGCGGGTGAAGGATTAATTCCCGAGCTAGGAGTACTAGGACGTAAAGTCGGCGAAGAAGAAGCTGCTGACTCCCGAAACCTCGGAGGCAG